TGAATGAGACACAATTTCTCCATCCACTCATTTGTTGATGGACATTTGAGCTGTTTTCATTTTTGAGGTCTTCTGGGTGATGAGGCTGTGGACATCAGTGTGCCACCAGATGTGCTTTTGGTAACTTGTGATGACAGACATCCACCTCATGTCATCACAGCGTTGAAACTATTAACAGACACTTGTTCCTATCCTGTGCGGTCGGTGTTTGGAGAGAGAAGCATTTTTTTCATGTCTTGAATCCTTCTGCTCCACGAGAACACCAGATTCCAATATCAGCTTAACAAGGTGGCCCTGGTATTTCCTCGTCCATAGTTTTTCACGCTGATTTACGGTTTTGAAAACTGCTTTGCAAATGACAATTATTTTTTTAGCATAACATATAAAACAAAACCCTATCTTCCTCTGCTGTTGGCACTCACTTTCTCCCATTTCTTGCTCGCTGGTCTGACTCCTTTCCACAATGTGTAACCCAAGGTGTGAACTAGTGATCCTTCCTCCAGTTCTTTGACTCTGAGGAGTTAATCTCCTAATTAATCTCTCTAAGCCTCAGCTGCTTTCTAGGGAACATGGAGATTAAAGTCCTTACTTCAGAGGGTTGTTGTGAGCACCCAGCGAACAAACCTATGTAAAGGCCTAGAAGGTTTAAATAGGCGTTCAGTAAATCCTGTTGTTAGTTACCAACTAGTTTATTTTGACTTGTTGCGACCCAATGACAGAGTAGAACTGCTGCACAGAATTTTCTCAGCTGCACTTAAAGGATGACCAGATCTTTCTCCCAAGGAGCTATTGTGGAGGTTAGAAAACCCAACTTTTAATTCGCTGCTGAGCACTTACCGTTGAGCCACCAGGACTCCTTTGAATAAACACTCACTCACTCATTGTTGGAGAGTCAGACTGATTCACAGCTGGCCCTCCAGTGGGTTTCCAAGGCTGTAATCGCTTGGGAAGAGATTCCCCATCTTCCTCCCTCTGAGCCACTGGTGGATTCGAACCATGAGGGAAGCACAGTCTTTGGGCCTAGCAGCACAACTCCCTACAGACTATGCCACCAGGGCTCCCTCAATGAAGGCTAGCTTCAGTGTTACAAAGAATGTCACTAGAGACGGGACTGCTGGGAAAACAGTCATAGAGAAAATCAGTTCTAGACGGAGCCTCAGAATCCTTGCCTCCAGGGAGCTGCCTGGTTTAACCCTTTCCATGATGAATCTGTTTGTTTCCCTAGCAGTCCATGGTACCCTCAAAACTATGAAAAAATATCACTGTATTATGTAAATTGCACAACAAACCCCACAGGATTTACTTGAAAACATAGACATAGGGGCACAACATTAAAAAAGAAATTATTACCTAACTCTTGGCACCAGGAGTCAGGAAATCAAAAAGCGTATCGCGATGGGAAAGTCTGCTGTTAGGGACCTCTCTAAAGTACTCAGAAGCAACGGTGTCTCTCTGGAGACAAAGGTGCGCCTGATACAGGCCATGGTCTTTGCAGTCGCTTGTTATGCATCAGAGAGTTGGACAATGACTAGGGAGGACAGAAGGAGAGTGGATGCTTTTGAGCTGTGGTGCTGGAGAAGAGTACTGAATGTACCATGGACTGCCAGGAAAACAAACAGATTCATCTTGGAGAGGATTAAACCGAGCTACTCCTTGAAGGCAAGGACTCTGGGGCTTCATCTGACATACTTTGGACATGTTGTCAGGAGGGACGGGTCCTTGGAGAGGGACATCATGCTTGGGAGGGTGGAGGGACAGCGCAGGAGGGGAAGACCCTCTATGAGATGGATTGATTCGGTGACTGGGGTAATTGGGATGGGTGTATCAGAGGCAGTGCGGTTGGCGCAGGATAGAGCAGGGTTTAGGGCTGTTGTGCATAGGGTTGCTATGAGTCGCAAACGACTCGACGGCACATAACAACAACAACAACATTACCTAACTTGAGAGGGACTGGAGAGCATTATGCTGAGTGAACTAGCTCAGTTCCACAAGGATAAATATTGTATAAAACCATTATTGCAGAATGAGTATAAGGATCCTAGAGAGGTGGGGGGAGGTTGGAAGCAGAGGGATGAGGATGTGCAGGGGTTGGGAGGGATTAATCATGGGGTTGTACAATTTGGTGGAGGGGGTAAGGGAAATTAAAGGAATTTCTTCTTGAAAACAATGCGTTCGAGTTTTGTAAATAAACTAGTGGAAAAATTTTTTTAAAAAGAACAAAACAACCCACAACCTTGTCAATGGCACATTAAAAAGGTTAGGAATCTGTTCAATCCTGGGGTATGGCACCAAAAAAAGGCTAGGAACCTTAATAGAAATGCTAGCATGGCTGTTTGTTAGATGATTAAGAAATGCGTAAATACGATCTATATAGCGCCTTAGAAAAGATCTGACGTTTGCTTGTTGAAGTGAGTGTTGGAGGAGATTCAGCCTGTGAATTACTGTGAACTGGTGACAGCTGAGCGGAGAACTGAGGCAGCTGGTAGACATTTGAGTGATCAGCTTGTATGTTCCTCAAACTGTTCAGGTAGGTGGTAGTTTCCTACTTTTTTTTCTGATGTTTCTTAGGGACGAAATGGAGTATTAGCAAATGCAAAATTTGTGCTCTATTCCAATTGTTGTTGTTGTTGTTATGTGCCGT